ATTAACTCCCCCTATTATTTCTTATCACCTGCTCAAGTTCTCTCCACAACAGTCTCTTCCTCACCAAGTCACACACAGAATACACATTGCACAATAGACATGGATAAGCATTAGGTCCCCATAACCCTTGAATCCCGAGAAAACCATCACCTTCAAGGACATTTATTTTTTTGAACATTTCACTATTCCAAATAATAATCAACCCTCCGCTCCTGAGGCTGATTTTGCTACCCACTCCATATTATCTGAATCCCAGAGTCTTCTACATAATCTCTTATCAACAACTTCTAGTTTTGTTTCTTATAGAAATAAGACCTCAACTCTATGTTTTATCACTAGCTCCCGAATCTCCCTTTTTTTCCCACAACCTCCCAACCCCTTAATATTCAACGAGAGTAAAATCATGAGGGGTTAGCTTGCACCTGGTTTCTATCAAGGCCGCTTGCCATATCTTTCCTTCTTCTTTCCCTGTCCCGCTATTCCATTTCTTCTAATTTTTGCAGCATTGGAATCTCATCCCCTTTGGCTGAAACCCCCAGTTCTTTAATTCTGCTCTATAAAGCTTCTGGGCCTCTGCTTTTATCCTTCACTTGAATACCTTTGTTGCAATTTTGAATGTTGCTATCATTAATAGAGTCATTTGCCACCGAATCTGCTGGATCTGTGTTGAAGGCAACCTATCGACCTCTTCCCTTTCTGTTTTTTTCTGTATCCGAAAGCCTTCAAGACCTCCACTTTGTCTGTATACTGATTTGCAGGTCTTCACCCTTCGTTTTTGCTTAAATTTCTTTCTTCCCAGACCTGTTGTCGCCCATTCCGGCGATTCCCCTGCATCACTGTCCAAATCTTGCCAAAAGGAGTCAACTTCTCTTAGCCTCACGTGACGACTGTCCTTTTTCTTCTGTTTAGTGGATCTGGCGATGGTATTGGGCCTAAGTTGCAAAATTTAGCCCGTTCTTCTTCAGCCCAATTGTCCCATTCTTGGAGTCCCATTCTTCACTCAACCTGACTAGCCTAATGCTTGTTTCATTTTTCATTAGCAGAGCTTTAACGATGTAGGTGCCTTTTACCGTTGCGGGATTTGAATTGGTTTCCCTTGAATCCTCCTCAATTGCCCCCTGTTTGAAAATGTTTCCTTCCCCAAAATTCACACTACTGACATCCATCTCTGCACTCTTCTGTCTCTCTTCATCCTCGAGCCCACCACAAATTAAGTGTTTGCTTGTTAAGTCTTCTAAGTTACCCATTGTATGCCCTTTTGCCTTGTCAGGTAAATCAGTTGCTCCCTGTGCCATAGAAGCTTCATCTTCTCTCTCTTCATCTGTTGATGTGTTGTTTGATGGTCGCTCCACGACATCCGGGAATCCTGCATTGTCCTCCACGTCTATTTCCAGCACAAAACCTTGGGCTGCCATGTCATCATCTTTTTCCCCGTCGCTGTTTTGCTCAGGGTCTTGACCAAACCAGCAATGATCCATGTCATCGGAATCCTCTGTTGACTCATCTTCTCCCTTTTCACTCCTGTCATTGATTTGAAAATCTGATTTCATTACATAAAGGCTATTGCTTGACTCCTCCTCGACGAATTTGACATTATATAGAGCTCCATTAATCTTTATGGATAAGATCTTTGAAATGTTTTCCATCATAGGTGTTGATATGAGAAATCTACCAACAGCAAGGCGTTTTTTCCTACTGGTACTGTCATCCAAGGAGACAAAAGTTCCCCACAAATTTCCAAAAGATTGGAAATATTCTAGCTTCCATGCATGTAGCGGCAACCCCAAACATTTAATCCACACAAATCTCTCCACTGCCACCATTGTTGGAGACCACGGTTTGATTTCCTCAAACTATTGTCCAAGCCAATCTTGGCCAGATTCAACCAAAATTTTCAACTCTTCATAATCACAGCCTTCCAACAGAACCCTCCTACCTCCCATTGCTCTGATTTTGCAACATAAAAAAAAAAAAACACCTTCCATAAAGAACTTCTTTTGCAGAGTTGGTATCATTGTTACAGAGTGAGCTGTCCCCACAAAGCATTTTTTCAACCATTCATACTCATCCTTGTTAAGAGTGTATTTCTTGTATAGTTGTATAGCATTTTCTAGCCTTTCTCAATTTTCAATGATTCTTAATGATTCATGCTAGGATTTTTTATTACAAATTGAATGCAAAAGTGAATAATTCAAAAAATGGCTTGAAAGTTTATGGTTAATGTTTAAAATTTTATAATTTTTTATTTATTTTTGTATGTAGCAGATCTGCCACCCCTTTCCCCACAAATAAAATTGTCTTTTGATCTCTACAGTCTTGCTTAAAATTTTTTCTTTTAATGGAAAAGTTTGTCTTAGATTTTAAAATGGGGCTTCTTTAGTTTTGCATAGTCTACAATCATCTAGTGTTGAGCTTGTTCATAGCCTTGAGGCCGTGATAAACCCTCTTTGATGAGCCATGTGTTGCAAGAAATAGGATAAAATTGAACAACTTTTGATGCCTTTTTTGGGACTTGTAAAATGTGATGGCTTATTAGCTTTGTTGCTTTGGATATTTGGTCCAAATAATGTGAATCATAAAATTAAAGTAAATGAATCACAAAGCATTCATTGGATATTTGGGTCATTGGATATTTGGGTCACAAAATGAAAGACCCAAATCCAAATCCAAAAAAGTAGCTAAGGGCCTAATGCTAGAATTGGTTAAAACTGAGACCGATGCCAATCGAATCAACTAACTTAGTGATCAAACTGAATAATCGAAATATTATTTAGTTCAATCTTTGATTGTTATCTCATAAAATAATCAATTGATCAAAATCATCGATTCAGGTTCAATTTCAACCAAACCGAATTGAACCGATACCCACCCCTAAAAGTAGGTGTAACGCTCATATAGCCCTTGTGGTTTTTTGTACTTGTGGATTGGAGTACTTTTTGTACTCTAAAAATAAAATGTTTTGGCCTTTCAAAAAAATGATATATAATAAATAGATATGTAAGGAATGATTAGAGAAGAATAATGATCACAAGAGAAAGATTTAAAACAAACAAATTATTATTATATTAAATTGATAGAAAAATAATTACAAATTGATTAATAACGAATAAATAAATTATTAACTATAATTGATTGGTTTGACATTTCTTCGATTTAATTAAATTGAATTTGATAGAAAAATAGTCAAAAACTGATCCATCTGGACCATAAATACTCCTAATATTGTGTTGTGTTATGCTACGTTGTAGTTGAAGGATTTTTTTTTTTTTTT